GCCCCTCGGCAGCCACCTCTGCCGCCACCAGTACTTTGCCCCCATCGTGGGGCTGGAGGAGGTGGAGGCCGAAGGTGCTCCTGGGCTGGCCCAGGCTCCTCCTGCCCTGGCCCCATCACCACCGCCAGCCAAGACCCTGGAGCTGCTCAACCGCGAACCTGGCCTCAGCTACTCCCACCTCTGTGAGCGCTACAGCGTCACCAAGAGCACCTTCTACCGCTGGCGGCGGCAGTCCCAGGAGCACCGGCAGAAGGTGGCTGCCCGTTTCTCGGCTAAGCACTTCCTGCAAGACAGCTTCTATCGCGGGGGCGTGGTGCCTTTGCAGCAGTTCCTCCAGAGGTTCCCCGAGATCTCCCGCTCCACCTACTACGCCTGGAAGCATGAGCTGCTGGGCTCAGGAGCCTACCCGGCCCTGGCCCCTAAGCAGGTGGGGACCACAGAGGAGCTGGGGAAGCTGCCGGAGCGGGAGGGGGCTGAAGGGCCGGGGGGCTCCCCTCTGGCAGCGCCAAGCCCCGGAATAGTCTTTATGCAGCGGGCCAAGCTGTACCTGGAGCACTGCATCTCCCTGAACACGCTGGTACCCTATCGCTGCTTCAAACGCAGATTCCCTGGCATCTCCAGGTCCACCTACTACAACTGGCGGCGAAAGGCCCTCCGCAGGAACCCCAGCTTCAAGCCGGCGCCAGCCCTGTCCCCCTCCAAGGCTCCCCAGCCAGCGTCTGTGGAGGAAGGGGCCCTGATCCCTTGGAAGGGTGAGGCAGGAGGGGGGACAGGGAAAACCACAGGTGGGGGATCACCTGTCCCCCGGGAGCTCCTGCCCCTGAAGATACCCCTGTCCCGTTGGCAGAGGCGTCTGCGCAGGGCTGCTCGCAAACAGGTGCTGGGTGGGCAGCTGCCCTTCTGTCGCTTCCGCCTCCGCTACCCAAGCCTGTCACCTTCTACCTTTTGGGCGTGGAAGAGTCTGGCTCGCGGCTGGCCCAGAGGCCTGTCCACATTCCGAAAGCAGGCCCTCACCTTGGGCAAACGGGGACAGGAGGCTGAGGAGAAGCCAGAGAAGGAAGCTGGCAGGAATGTGACATCTGTGACGGCCCCACCTGCAGTGACTCCACCAGTGGGGTCCTCTTCAGGAGAGGATCCAGTGGAGGTTCAGGAAGGGACTTCCAGAGGGGGAACCCTGCAAGAGCAGGCCACGGCGCAGGGCCAGCTCCACAGGGAGTCCCTGTCGAGTCACCCTGTGGCAGCAGCGGGCAGCAGAGATGGCCAGGTGCTGGTGATGGACATGATCACCACGACAAAGTTCAAGGCCCAGGCCAAGCTGTTCCTGCAGAAGCGCTTCCAGTCCAAGAGCTTCCCGTCCTACAAGGAGTTCAGTGCCCTCTTCCCTCTCACTGCCCGCTCCACCTACTACATGTGGAAGAGGGCCTTGTACGAGGGCCTCACCCTGGTCGACGGCTGACGGAGGTGCCCAAGGACATAGGGGGCCAGTTTGGGGACCCAAGCCGCCCCCTGGCTTGGCCACGCGTTCAGTTTCTACTCTGAATCAAAGGGCTTATTTGTGTTATTTCCTGGCTCCAGGGTAGAGTCAGAAATGGGCCATGCGATCTGCGGAAAGCTAGAAGTCCAGGGGTGTCGCTTCGGTTGGTTGTTGACTGATACTTTTATTGCCGAGTTTTAGTTTTTTTTTGTTTGACTTCAGTGGGCTGGTGGCTCCTTGCTGTGTGGGAAGCTGTATGTGTGTGTGCAGGATACGGAGTGGGTTAGCTTTTAGCTAACCTAGAACAAAAGGAGTGACAGAGCATGGCCATCTGTCCCAGCTGGTAGAGCAGGTGTCCATCCTCAGTTTCTTTTGGGGGTTAGCACCCTATTTACTCAAAAGATGTTTCCCAAAGGGACACTAAAACTGAAGGTGGGCCAGGTCAGTGGCTTCTGCCTGGTGTTCCGCGGAGGAGGTAGCATGAACAGCAGGGATGTACTGGGATGCAGGTGCACAGCCACAGCTGGGCCTCCAGGGGAAGGCCTGGGCACCTGAGATTACAGACCCGCTTGTCCCCAGCTGGGAGTGTGCTGGGGCGAGGGAGAAGGCTGGCAGGGAGAGGCACAGGCTATCTGGGGACCTAGTCCAGCAGCTCTGCTTGCTGGTGCTTGGTCATCTGGTCACCCCACAGTTCTCTGCCAGCTTGGCTGGCTGTGGGGGACGCTGCCTTTCTGCTGAGCCCCATCTTCACGGAGGGAACACAAAGCGGTCAGGCAGGTGGGAGACTGAATTTGCACTGTCTGAGTGAAGTTGGAAAAACCAAAGAAATAAAGTGACGTGGTACCCACAGCTCTTGGTTTCGTGTTTGTTCTGTCAGAGTGCAACGGCCTCTTTCTCTGTTCCACTTCCATTTAAGGGCACTGAGAGTGGGACGCACTGAGGCTGGAGAGTTGGAGGGGGTTACTCTGAGGACCCTGCTCTGAGTCCTTGCTAGAGGTGACCTTGGGTTCTTCTCCGGCTGGGGGCAGGGCTCTGGGTGCCTGCAAAGACCCCTGTGGGAGGAAGCTAGGCCCAGTGTGTGCTCAGAGGCCAGGCCGGCCCAGGATGTCAAGTCGGTGCCGTCCATTCTACTTAGTCTGCGAGGTGCTCGCAGGAGAGCCCAGCCCCAGGTCAGGAAACGGCGCCTGGGCAGTGGGTTTGCCTGTTCCTCTCCTCTGCACGCCCTTCCTTTCTCCTGTCAGTTCCCTGCAGTGGCTGTCGTCCTGTGGTCTCGGAGAGCCATTCTTTGTTCTTCACCCCCATATCCAGTCCATCACCGAGTCCTGACGCAGACTACAAGCTACACCTGGAGTCTGCCCCTTCCCTGTGTTCCTGACCCGTCTCTACATCCCTGCTGCTTGTTTTTTTTTTTTTTTTTTTTTTCTCTCTCTTTTTTTTAAGGTTTTGCCATAGGGTGCTTATACTCACTGGAGAGAGATGGGGAAAGTGAGAAATCTCCCCTCCCGGGTGGGGGGGGGACGGCCATGGCACAACCCCTTCTTCATTCTCCTGGGATTTGGAGCACACATACATGGATCCAGTGTGATTTTCAAGCCACTAGGTCAGGACTCAGTTCGGTCAGCTACATGGGAGTCGAGGGTTTTAACCTATGGCACCTGCTGTCCCCATGCTTTTTTTAAGTTTGTGAATTTCTTCCATGAGAGAAAGCACCCCCAATCGGGCCCTGATACACTGCCATTCACCCCCAGATATCAGCCAGCCCCTGCTTGTGGGCATGGGACCCACTCAGGGAAGTCTGTGGACCCAGAACCTTCCCTTGTCGGTTGACCTTGCAGAGCATCAGGTTTACTGAGCCACTGTCACCCCTGGTGTTTTCCTGGTTTGCTTTTGTCCACCTCTCCCCGTTAGGACAGCAGTTCCTTGAAAAGCAGGGCTTTTTCCTGACTTACACAACTGTGACCCCAGTGGGTAGATGAGTCCCCAGCATACCGTAGGGGCTAAACTTTGTTGAAAGACAAAATGAATAATAAAATGATTGTTGCTATGCTTTGGGGTTTGGTTTTATCAAACGTAATCCTACTTACTAAATGTTTTTCCTTTTTTAATTTGCCAGGCATGTGTGCTTGCCAGAGAGAGATGGAGAGGAAGAGAGCATCCCCACACACACACACACACCGTGGGGCATGGTCACCCTTCATCCCTTCTCTGTTTCTCATTTGGGATTTGGGGCATGCACACACATCATGCTATGTGGTTTGTGAGCTCAAACTGGTCGGCCAAGTGGGATCCAGTTGCCTTAACCATAAGCCACTGGGCCTGCCCCCTACTAGCTAAATATTTCTTCTATTTTCTCCTCCGTCCCCATAGCCCCCAAAAAGCTCTGCTTTTTGATAACTAAAAATGGTTTTTACTTAAATTCTTCTACTCAGACTACCGCATCCCATCCTTCTGACAAAGGTCAGAATGGTTCCACTACCTCTCGCTAGTTTATTTCTCCCCACTGGCGGCTCCTCTGTCCTCATTCA